GGCCAGTCTTAATTTGTTTAGCTAGAAGCATTTGCCGAAAAAACCGGTGCCGGTAGCTACAAAAACTGCAGGGAACCATACAAAAAACGCATCTTCGCACGGGCAGCCCGTGCGTTGGCCAATTATTTTTTTTTTGAGAAAAATGGCTGTCAGGATTACCAATATTGCCCGGACTGTCCACCGGAAGTTCTGGTATTGTTGAGAGGTATCAACTTGCTTGAAGTATAAAAGCATTTCTCTCTTGATTTGCATGTCTGTTGTTTGTACTTCTCGCCTCTGTTTTGCACATGCGCTTTCTCACAAGAAGCCGCATAAATGATCATCTGCAAACTGACCTGATCCTTTCCTACATGTAAATTCTCAAATATCTTACTAGTTTCTTCCATCTTCCGAGATTTCTCTGGAGGGGTCAAGTAATGAAATAGCTAATCATTTACTGATAACGTTATAAAATGCTGATGTTCTGCTCTAAAATTTGAAAAAAGATATCGTATCCATGGTGACGGCCGAAACGTGGACTTTTACTTTAATAAAGTGGTTTTACAGAACCCATCTTTTCGGGGATATTTTCTGCACAGAGGGTGTTGGGTGAGAAAAAGGCCGTAACTCGCCCCAATCTCAAAAATCGCATGAAACAGCAGGAAAGAATCAGGTGCAAAATAGTTTTGCATAACAGCGCACCAGGCCTCTAATTGTATTGAAGACTTCACACTAATGGCGGTAAATCTTGCAGGGCACTGGAGGGGGAAAAGCGGCGGGAAAGAGAGCTAGGGAAAAACTAAAGGAGATAAATTTGTCTTCAATAACCGGCATTTTTTTATCAGAAAGTTTTCAGACCGAATCGCAAGGCAGTGTTGATGATAGTGTTTGGGATCCGATTCTGAGAAGGCAAAACGCGAATCTAATCGTATGTTTAGTCGATTGGATCATTCCGGGGCATGGACAGCCTTTCCGAGTATTGCCACGTTACAGGTAAACCGAATTTCTGATTTCATTTTGCGAAAAACTTCTTCGAGAGATGATAATCAAATTCGAGATGAGGTATTTTTTAGAAAAGCTACAAACTTTTTCCGGAAAATCAGCCATTTTTTCCGTTATATTTTGTAATATCATAATATAAGAAATGCAGTTTCCCTGAAATGTGCATAGACCAGGAGATATTCAGGCCAGGATCTAAGGGCGGGACCAATCCAGTAATCACCAAATATGAATATATTGTTTATTATTACTATTGTTCTATACTTATTTCTAACTATGATACTTTTATCAGCATCAGTTTCCAACACATGCAATGGCAACTTTGCCAGCTGTTTTGACCAGTGGCCATAACGCTAGTAAAACTGTCACGAACTTCGCCTAGAGAAAGGATACCGGCTGAGCATTCCTCTCGACTAGAAGTTGTACTGTGGGACGAGGCCTTAGTTGTCTCGAGCTTGAGTATTAACG